CCCCTTTTTGTCCTGTTTTTTGTTTGTTTTTTGAGACAGGGTTTCCCTGTAGCCCCCGCTGCCCTGGAACTCACTATGTAGACCAGGCTGGCCTTGAACTCAGAAGGGCTGCCTCTCCTCCTGAGTACTGGGACTAAAGGCATGCAACACCATGCCCAGCCTACAACCAGTGTTGTTAACCTCTGAGCCATCTCTCCAGCCCACAGTCAGTGCTCTTAACTGCTGAGCCAACTCTCCAGTCCCCCAAGCTCAAATTTTTGAGGCCTCACTTCAAATGCAACATAGGAACTGCACTTCTCTTGAACCATCTTGAGACCTAGTAACATCAGGTTGAGGTGGAAGGGTGCAAAACCCTAGGGCAGAACTGACTTTGTAGTTACTTGTGTGAGTTGTGAGTCCACTAGAGGGTAGCAGGGCTATTTTGAACAAGGCAATCTGTCCGAGTACACATAGGAAATTCTAAGTGTATACTAAAGGAGATCCATGGCAAAGCAAGTGGACCAAGAAAATTATCACCCTTGTTCTGTTAGCAGTTTATTTATTAGATAACTCATATAACAGAGGGCTTATGGCATAAGATTAAGTAGGTTGATAGTTTGGACTCAGAGTATGGCATGGAGAAGACAGCAGTTGGAGTTAGAATTAGGCTTGTGGTAGCAAGGTGGCTTAATGGAACCTGAAGACTCGAGATATAACCAGGAACTTCCCTCCCTACAAGGAGGTTCATGAACCAGCCCTGCACCCAGCCTGTGGCAGATGGTTGCTTCAGAGGCCAGAGACTCGGGACAAAGGCTATTCCTTATTACACATCCCTTCACCAGACGACCCTCATCTGTCACACAGCTCAACCTGGGGAGGGGTTGGGGGGGTATAAATCCTGCTGTCTGCCAAGACTGAGGGAAGGAAGCACTGGGGCTGAGGAGCCAAGAGGGGTGACATAATGCTAATTGCCAAAGGTGAAGGAACAGGAGGCCAAGGTGAGAGCAGAAGAGAGCTGACATGAGTGTAGAAAGAAGGGCGTGGCTTGGAGGACTGGGGCAAGGTCTTCACTTTCAACTTCAATGGCTTGTACTTTAATATAGGGCACAGAGGAGCCATGGAAACTTTCAAAAGAAGGATAGGGCCAAGTGTTTGCCAGGTATGTACCTCTAGCTTTCTCTAGAGGTCAAGTGAGAGGTGAATGTACAGCACAGTGGGGTGCAGATACAGAAGGAATGCTGGTGATGCCTGCAGGAAACTGGACCAGAGACTCCATGGACATGTCACAGTGACACTCAAAAAGTAAGCCACGTGTCTTACTCAACCCAGTACTTCCCTTGGGGGCACCACAGATTCAGGCTACTCCCTCAGTACAGCAAACACTGTAGTGAGAGTTTCAGTTGCTCTTTCAAGGCGGGGTCCACCACTGGAGGCAAATCCTTGGCCTTCAGGACAACTGCATGGGCCTCCCGGAAGAGGTCCTCTCCCACTGCAGCTTCCACACGCTGTCGCCATGCAGCCAGTTTGGGTCGGCTCTCAAAGATTTTGCAACCAGCACTGACAGACTATGGGGAGAGGAGCCAGATGGAAGGGCTAGATTCCACCAAGTACAAGGCAGGGTGGCCTACTTGAGGATTCCCCAATGCATTGTCCCTCCCTCACCAAGTATGAGGTGCCTCTCAATGCCCCTGTAGAAAGCACTGATGAAGACTGACTTTATAGTTGGTGCTGAGAAATGACTGTCAAATGCTCAGCCATAAATGGGATTTTTACGTCATCCCTTCCAAGACTCAAGGAATATTAGGAAAGGAGTGAAAAGAACATAAAAGGTGGAAGAAGGGGGTGGGGTGGGCGGGAGTCATGTGGAGCACCGACTTCCGGGCATGGAATGGCTGTTGTACTCTTGAACACACAGCTGCTGTGACTACCTGCAGAAGATCTGCATGTTACTAGGTCTGATAGCATCCTGTCATGGAAGGAGGAGGGACTCATGGGGCCTCAGCCCTCCCTGAGGATTTATATACAGTTAATTGGTTAATGGAGGAAGGAGAGACATTTTCTTTAGTGATGTAGCCACAGGTGAGGTGTCCATGCTCTTGTAAACAGATCCTTACCTGTGCTCCTGTAAGCAACACTATTGAAACTTATTGGGTCGCATACAAAAGTACACAAAGATGTGAAAGTGGAATGAGGGTAGAGGAAGAGGCAGGGTATCGGTTGGGAGCAGGAGGGGGACAGGAGATGGTAAAGGGAGGAATATGATTAAAATAGTTATGTACATGTATGAAAATGTCAGCCGGGTGTGGTAGCACATGCCTCTAGTCCCAGCACTCGGGAAGCAGAGGCAGGTGATCTCTTCAAGGCCAGCCTGGTCTACATAGTGAGTTCCAGGCCACCTTGGGGCTACAGGGAGACTCTGTCTCAAAAAAAAAAAAAAAAACGTCATAATGAAACCCATTATTATGTATAATTGATATATGCTAATAAAAACATTTTAAAAAAAACTGACATGTGAGGCCAGTTCTGATAAGTCCAAAAAAAGATATCTGCAGGACTATTCTCCTTCTGGAGCCTGAAGAGGAACCCTTCCTCACCTCCTCCTAGCCTCTGGTGGGATGTCAATAGTACTTGTGGTCCTTGGTTAACAGATGCTCAACTCTCATTTCTGACATGTAGTTTCATGGCATTCTTCCTGTCTGTCTTCACTTGGGCCTCTTCTTTTAAGGGCACCAGTCATATTGGACTAGGGGTAGTTGTGGTTTAGATACAAAACATTCTCTGTATATTCATGTATGCAAAGCTTAGTCCTCCATGCAATAGTGTTCAGAGGGGGCCTCGAGAGATGATGTGGTCGTGAGGTGCTGACATTGATGAATTCATAGTTGAATGGACCATTAGGAGGGCGATAGAGCCTAGCTGGAGGAAGTAGGTCTCTGGACAAAGTCAACCACCCTGTTCATCTCTGAGTTCAACAATATTGACATTGTTGGAACTTGGTCTTCAGAGACAGGTAACAGGACATTCGACTGATGGGGAGCAGAGAACAAACAGAGGGGAACTTTGCATCAGCCGTACACGTCCCATCCCCACACATACATTACCAGTGAGTACCCAGTAATTAATTTTTAAAGGTTAATTTTTCAGAGCTGGGAAATTAACTTAGTAGGTAAAGTGCTTGCTACACAAGAATAAGGACCTGAGTTCGAATCACCAGTACTCTCGTAAAAAAACAGGTGCAAAAGCATACACCTGTGATCTGTGCCCTGGGGAAGTGGAGACAAGAGAATCCCTAGAGGTTGCTGGGCAGCTACTCTTGCTAAATCAGTGATCTCCCGGTTCAGTGAGGGACCCTATCTCAAAAATAAGGTAGAGCATGATAAAGACATCTGACATTGACCTCTGACCTCCACGTGCTAGTTAGCAGGTGGCTTCGTGGATTGTAAAGGGAAATGGTGTCTGCCTATTTGTGATGAAACTGCTTGTTCTCCCCAGGCGGAGGCTGAGGAAGATTGTCATTCTGATTCTGTCAGAGCAGATGAGGAGAGTGAGAGTCCTGCTGAAATAGACCTGCAGGCATGTGTCTCCAGTTACCCACTGAACTTTGGTTCCCTTCTTCCCATACATGCACAGAGGTTGGAAATTATTGAGATTTGTAAGTTCCTATTTGCATTGAATTTAGCTGGATTTTCATATTCTTTATAGCATACTTAAATTGTGTCATGGATTTCTCGTTAGAAGTATCAATAATTGCTGCTTTGGAATTCAATGTGTAGGCTTACATTCTTAATACCCTTTTTTTTTTTGATCTTTTTGAGACAGGGACTCCCTGTAGCCTCAGCTGGCCTGGAACTCACTATGTCAAATAGGCTGGCCTCGAATTCACAGAGATCCACCTGCCTTTGCCTCCCGAGTGCTGGGACTAAAGGCATATACCACCATGCCTGGCTAGGAACTTTTTACTTTTAACAGAAAGTGCCATTCCTGGTACATCCTCGGCGGGGTGGGGGGGTGTCCCTGCCCATTTGCCTTCATAACTCACCTTCTGCCACATGGCCCTGGTGCAACAACTTCTCAGGGTTGTGTGCTGCCAGGACAGGTACTCATCCACACGGGCTCGAGCCTGTAGGTCCTCAGGGTACCAGTGGTCTGGGGCCTTGTACTTGCGACTCAAATATAGCAGGATGGCCACACTGGAGGAATGTGGACGGGAAGAGAACATGCCCTGGTGATTCTTCAGGCCCCTTGGTC